AGTTCTTGCTTCAACTGTTGAATAAGTCTTAGGGAGAAATTCAGCTCCTTTCCTACCTTTCCATGGTCATATAGGGTCAGGTGTCTCCCTAGAGGTCCTGGAGAACCCTGCTGTCCTCACACCAGTGGGCTTGCCACTACTTAGATGTAGTCGTGTGGGACCTTGGGTTGAACTGAGCCAGCCCTGGAAAATGCCCGTTGTCTAGAAATTGGCTGGTTCCCTAGAAAAAGCATGTGGAATAAACATCTAGTTTGTCTTTCTTGTCCCCTCAGATCCTACCATTGGTTGGTTGGCTGGCTGGCTGGCTTTGCTGTCCATCACACCTTCTTGTGAGGGGCCCCCAGCCTAGGTGGAAACAGTGCTGCTGAGGAGACCTGAGTACAGCTTCATTCATCCATGCAGAACCAGTCTCCCCACGGCACAGATGGTGCCTCTTGGTCACAGCCCCTCTGGGCCCTGTAGCGTGCCAGGGTCATTGTACTGTTACCAGAGTGACCGGGCAGAGCAGGACCCGTTACCCCCCTTGGAGACAGGCAGACCTCAACAAGGGGAGGGCGGGGCGCTGTGGATGTGACTCGGACCCTCACAGGAGCACGGCTGCCCTCCAGGAGCTTCTCTGCCGATTTCTGCTCTGGGCCCTGCCGGCTGCACTCCCAGCTGCCCCCCAGCCCCTGGCTGTCAGAGGTCTGTGCTTGTGTCTGGGAACAGCCTGCTCTCGCCAGTCCTTTGGCTTGATCCCCTTTAGTGAATCCCTGCAAAGTAGCCTCTGGCCTCATGGAAAGTATACATCCCAGAGGGCTTTTTGGCTTTCAAGCCCGCTCATCAAAAGTGTACCTGGATGCGTTATGAGGAGGAAATGTGCAGTTTGGCTTACACCTCAAAAATATGCATTCACTGATGTCCCTGAGAGTTCCTGTGCCCAGCAGGCTCCCTGGGACCCAGAGCACCCCCCTCCACCCCCCTGTTTCCTGCCTCCTCTCTGCAGCTTCCCGGCCCTGAATTGCCCGACAGCTGAGTGAAGAGTCTAAAAAGCCAAGTGTTTTCTCCTCTGTCATGAGACATTGTCCTGCCTTTTTTCTCACTTTTAGATTTTGGGTCACTGGGACAGGTGACCTGATACGCGGTGGGGTCACACCCACCCTCCCCAACTTTTCTGCCCTCTTGGTAGTTTTCCGATGGTGACATCAATTTGGGCAATAAACCCTTAAAATTCTTTTGTCTAAACCACACAGTTTGTGACTAAGACCTTGAATGACCTTTATATATGTTTGGTGTGCTGCCAAAATACCCTTCCAGTACAAATACCTTTCTGCAGGTACCGCTTTGCAGTGGCTTGTAGGGGTGGGGTTTTGCACACAGCATGGGCCAACTATTTATGGCACCTTGGCTTGTTTGTGGAGTGGGGGCCGAGGGTCCCTGACATCCAAGCCCCAGGGAGCCTCAGTTAATCCATAGTCTCTCACCTGTTCTGGAAGCCACACTTAACAGCAGACTCACCTGTGGCTTGGTTTCTGCCTCTGCATCTCTCAGAAGAGTGGGTGGAGCCCGCCAACACCAACTCCTACCGTGTGAAGGTCTTCCTTTCTCCTGCAGCTGCTGGGTCTCGCCAGAGCCATTCCTTCCGTCCGGGTTTGAGGACCACTCAGATACGTATTTGTGGGTCTTTGATTTTGACTTTCCCGACTCGCGTCTTCCCGTCTCTCGTGTGTATCCTTCCCTTTATGTCGTGGGTGCACCCACCAGTTTGCTTCTGGCCGGACCACAGGGCCTCTCCCTGTCTTCCACTCTCTACTGTCTCTGCCTGCAGCCACATGATCAGGTGATCTGAAAGAATCCGCGTGCATTACACACTCACCATGATAGCCACCAACAACGGAGCGGTGTGAATTTGACTTTAGAATCCCCTTTTTTGATCTGTGTTTGCATGAAACTCTGCAAGGTTTAACAACTTATTTTAATTTTTCATCAGTTGAAAAGCCATCATACTAAATGGTTCGTTGAAAATTTCGGGATATTGTATTGCCGAGTGATTTATTGATCTTGTTTGTTTTTTAATTAAAGGGGAGACCATAAACCCAGCATAGCACCAGGGACAGCTGTCCGTCTCCATCCTAGCAGGTGTGGGGCCTGGGGGGCAGTGGCCAGTGGGCGTTCTCCGGGTGGATGTTCTATCGCGGGTGCTTTACCGTGCGTTGCTAGGTCTGTTACAGAGCGTTTTCAGCAGCTGCACAGAACTCCTTTATATGGCTCATATGACTGCTCACCAGTCTGAAGATGGGTGGGTGGTTCTCCTTTGTGCTCTGCCACGTATTAAAAGTCACAGCTTTGCAGAAATACCTCTTTAAATCTGATCTAGTGCACTTGCTGTGAGTCCTGACTGCAGACCTGCTCTCCTCATCTCAACTCCTGTGCCTGAATTTCCAAGTGAAGCAGAGAAATTTGAACGGGTTGTAACCTTTCATAAGAGTTTGTTTTCCTAATGGCCATGAAGAATCTGCTGTCCATTTGAGCTATGTAAACACCACAGGAAGGTGTTAGCATAGTGATCATCACTGTGAGGACAGTTGTAAAAAGAAGATGCTAAGGACCAGAGGAGAGCGGTGCTCTGTCCCTCGCATGAAGGAAACACATTTCCTCTGAGACGTAAGGAAATCATCCTGTTTGGGAAGTGGGGAGGTGGTGCTGGTCTTCAAAGGGGACACACTTCAGTTAGAAGATGAGTACGTTTGGGGACCTAAAAAAGTCCTTGAATAAATTAATTAATCTTTTTCAAAGAAAATAAATCATCTTTTGGTTCTTAAAGGATATAATTTTACAGCATTTGTTCTTTTCAGTATATAAAATGCCTTTTTTTTTTTTGAGATTTATTTATTAGCTCACGTATGCACAGCAGGGAGCGGCAGAGGGATGGGGGAGAGAGTCTCTAGCAGGCTCCATGCTGAGCACGGACCCCAACATGGGACTCATTCTCACAACCCTGAGACCATGACCTAAGCCGAAACCAACACTTGGACACTTAACCAACTGTGCCACCCAGATGCCCCTAAAATGCTTTTTTAATAACTAAATATTTTCAAGGCCGAAATGATACAAATACCTAAGCTTTAAAAATATGTCATCGTAAACCCAGGGTTTGACTTCAGTATTTTTTCCTTCAGCAAGTGCTTACCATTGGCTACAAGCCCAGTGCTGTGCTTGTACGTGCCACAGTCCGGCCCGGTGGAGCTCCCATTCAGTCGGGCAGAGCCGCGGTGGCCATGACCCGTGCAGCCAGAACCCATCGCGAAGGGAGCTGGGGGGGCCCTGAGGAAGGAGACTTGCCTGTCATCTGAAAATGAGATGAACCGCATGGTAACAGAAGTGGAGAAGGAAGAAGGCGGGCTGGGGTCAGAAAGGTCACTGTGTGTGGGCAGTCAGGAGAGAGTGGGGTGGCACCAGGTAGGAAGTGGCTCCCAGACCAGGTGGGACTGGGCAGTACTTTGGATGAGGGTGATGCTGCAGGAGAGGGTGAGATGCTCCAGTGACCCCCACACCCTGCCCTGTGTGACCCCTTGGGTTCACTGCCCTGGAACAGGCTAGGACACAGGGGCAATGAGGAGCTCCATCTTGGACCTCCCACCAGAGAGGTCAGCAGGGTGGCTGCATACTTGCTCTGGGCTGCAGGTGACCCCTGGGGCTGGGGTCTGAACTGAAGGGCCCAGGTGGGTGTCTCTGCAGGTCAGTGGTGACTGAGGCCCTAGGGTAGTGGGGGCTGGACAGGGCACAGAGCAGTGGTCCAGATCACGGCTGTCCTTTGGAATCCCTGAGGGTGAGACCCACCCAGGCTTTGGTATTTTCAAAGCCCCTGCATCATGTTAAAGCTTGACAGCCAAGGTTAGGAGCTCTGGACTACGAAGAGAAGGGCCTGGGTCTGAGTCTGACCTCACTCTTCCCCAGCCCTAGACTTTTAGAGGACATTGGTGTTTAACTTTTTTTTTTTTAAGGAGCCACTTTGAAATATACCAGAACATTTTGTTCTTTTTTTTTTTTTTTTTTGTAGGATTTTGTTTATTTGAGTGAGAGAGAGACACAGAGCACAAGCAGGGGAAGGGGCAGAGGGAGAGCCAGAAGCAGGCTCCCCGCCGAGCAAGGAGCCTGACTTGGGGCTCGATCCCAGGACCCTGGGATCATGACCTGAGCTGAAGGCAGACGCTTCACCGACGGAGCCACCCAGGCGCCCTAGTGTGTTTAGTTTTTGTTTTTGTTTTTAAGATTTTATTTATTTGAGAGAGGGAGAAACAGACTCCCCACTGAGCAGAGAGCCCAACAGGCGACTTGATGGATCCCAGGACCCTGAGATCATGACCCAAGCTGAAGGCAGACACTTAAACCGACTGAGCCACCCAGGCACCCCACGGCATTTAGTTTTAAGAACCTAAAATATTTTGGGGCACCTGGGTGGCTTGGTTGGTTAAGTGTCCAACTCTTGATTTTGGCTCAGGTCATGATCTCACAGGGGGCTCTGCACTCAGTGGGGAGTCTGCTTGGGACTCTCTCTCCCTCTGTCCCTCCCCCCCTGCATGCACTCTCTCTCTCTCTCTGTGTCTCTCTAAAATAAATAAAAATAAATCTTTGAAAAGGATCATAAATATTTTGTTCTATAAATATTGTTTAAACATAGGAAGTATTAAAAACCTGAAGTGTAACCATTTTCTGCCTGGCATTGCTAATAAGGGAAATATGGTGAAACCCTGCTTTGTACCTTCCTTACCTACTTCACAGGGTGTTCTTACTTGGTGTTCCTGTGTAATGCCTGGGTCTTAGAAGCGAGCCATTGTGTTGGCTGAGGAATCCGAGATTGGGAAAACGTACGTGAATTGCTGAGCAGCGAAGACATGAGCCTTATGAAAATGTCCTTTCTGGTCTGGGGAAGCCATGCCTGTTGGTAGCTGCCCCTCCCACCTCCTCTTCCTTGTTACGGTGATTCCCTCTCAAGTCCTCTTGTCCTTTGTTTCAGGATGATGATCTGGAGGAGGGCGAAGTAAAGGACCCCAGTGACAGGAAGGTGAGGCCTCGTCCCACCTGCCGATTCTTCATGAAAGGTAATTGTCTGAGGGGCCTTGTGTGGCCTTGGCTTTCCCCGGGACTGTGGTGGTGGTTCAGCCCTGGAGCTGAGCAAGGCTGTTCTTGGGGCCAGACCGCGACCATTAGTGGTGATGGTGGCGTCGATGTTTTGGGGGTCTTTGCCTCGCTTGACTGACGTGGAGGGGGCCAGCCTCACCATTTTCACACTTGGGGTTCCAAGCCCAGCTGTTTCTAGCAGAGCCGTAGCTTTAACATTCCCTTGCCGTCAGGCCAGATGGCCCAGGCGCCAGTGCAGACGTTTTCCCACCTCTGTAAGGAAAGTTGCCACTTGTTTGCTAAATGTGTCAAAGTACACCCTTCATTTGGAGTGGAGGGGCTCTGAGTGCAGCAAGGTCGCTCGCTCCGGGAAGGTGAATGGTGTGAACCAAGTGGCTGTCACGGAGCGGGGCCAACCCGCACATGGCAGCAGGAACCCTGGTCTGTACGGGTTTCTGTGCCGTGTGACAGTAGTAGGCCCACATTTTCCTTGCCCGGGTAGGAGATGTTTGTGTCTGTCCTAGGCTCGCTCTGGCCCTGGGTGCCCTTGCTCACTGGCCCAGCCTGCGCGTACGGTCTGAATTTCACCAGAGCTTCCTGTACTTCTTTTCCAGATGTGACAGCCTTATCCACTCCTCTTCCACCAATATCACATTCCATACCATTCAGAGGCCAGGTTCAAGGTACAAAGTATACGATATTCACTCTCTGCTCCGGAGGCCAGACTTCTTTCTCCTGGATCCAGAATTCTGATGTGAAGCCAGAAGGAAGGGGGAGGCTCTGAGGGGCAGAGAGCAGTCGTGGACCTCAGTTCTTAGAGGCACTTGATGAGGCTCACGGGAGCTTTGTGGATGGCACGGGGAGGGGGGGACAGTAGGGGACGGTGGAGTCCCATCTTCCTGAGAGGCCACGCTCTGCCCTTGAGTGGCCCCTGCAGGACCCTCTCCCTACACCCAACATGACGTGGTGCAGAGGGTGCATGGGGACCGAGGAGCCAGTGTGCTCAGGACCCAGGTCAGCTCCCTCCTCAGGGCGAGTGCTCCTGGCCTGTGCCGTTTACATGCAGACATGGCTTCTGCCAAGTGGAAACTCATTGGAGGTAGACGTGCGTGTGGTGAGCTCCACTGTGCAGCCTTGTGCATTCTGCTTTCAGGAGGGTGGCTGCCAGTGATGTCGAGGGCAGCATGGTCACCCTGAGAATGCAGAGAAGTGTGTGGTATGTTTTAGGAAGTCAGTTCTTAACAGTTCTTTAAAAGTTTTGATATTTGAGGGGCGCCTGGGTGGCTCAGTTGGTTAAGTGTCTGACTCTTGAACTTGGCTCAGGTTTCGATCTCAGGGTCCTGAGTTCAAAGTGCACATTGGAGCTCAGCGTGGAGCCTACCTAAAATAAGTTTTGGTATTTGAAATATTAATATTTCAGAAAATTTTAACTTAAGCAGAAGATCTCTTTTCCATAATTATGTGGGCATAAATGATGTCAATCCACCATTGAAATTTCTAGATTAAAGAGGAGGAGACCAATACGTACATGTATACGTAGATGTACGTGCACTGTTGTCAAACTGTGTGGTTCAGAATCCTGGCCAGCCCGTCAGGACTAGCCAGGGTCTCCCCTGGCAGGAGGCAGTGCCTTCCATCCGCGCCACGGAGATTCCCATCCAGGTGCGCGGGGTCACAGCACTGAAGTTATTTCCAGAATTTAGCAACAGAAGCACACAGGCAAGTGAAGTTATTGCTGGGACTGCAGATCAGCATCCTCGGGAGATGCCTCGTGGGCAAGGACTGGGCACCATCTCCAGGGACCCCATGGTCCCCAGGGCCACATCACAGTAGGAGGGAGGTCCCCTCCACAGTCCCAACGAAATGCTTAGTTTGGGTTTCAGAGACAAAGGCGAGTGGGCAGGGCTTTCTGCAGAGAAATCTGAGGCTAGTGGCAACCGGCCCTCTTTGCAACTTGATTGGGCATAATCAATAACTTGTTTCAGGCTTTGCTTTCAAGTATATATTTACCTTTTCTGCCCATACTTCCTTGTTTATTCCTCGGAGTGGTGTGATACAGTACAGAAAGAAATCGTTGATTCTTTGGGTGTTCTAGAACTTATCTCTTGCTTCTTAGAGTTTTTGGGTGAAAATGTTTTTGCTTACCTTTAGTTTATAAGCTTGGTATTAATTTGAGATGATTCCGTGTAATTTCCATTTATTAGCAAGAGAAGTCACTTTAAAAATAAAATGGAGTTTGTTGCATTTGATGAGATGTGGAGAAATGGAACCTTCACACTGCTGGTGGGAGCACGAAATGGTGCAGCTGCTGGAAAACAGTGTGGCAGCCCGGAGAACAGGAAAGGGTAGAACTGTCCGGTGATCTGATCCGATCACTTATGCTTCTAGGTCTCTACCCACAAGAAAGGAAAACGTACGTCCTCACAAAAACTTGTACATAAATGTTCATAAAAGCAGTGTTCAAAATAGCCAACAGGTGCAAACAACCCAATGTCCGTCAGTTCATAAATGGTTACACACAGTGCGGGTTGTCGGCACAGTGGGATGTTATACCTCCATGAAGCAAGTGAAGTGCTGACCCCACAGCACGGATGAACCTTGACGGCATTCTGCTGAGTAAAGAAGCCAGACACAAAAGGCCCCCTCTTGTGCATTTTCGTCTATACGAACCATCCAGCATGGATCCATAGAGGCAGGAACTGGGTTGGTCATTGTCTAGGCCGCAGAGCCTGGGCAGGGAGGGAGGGAGTGGGAGCGGGCGGTGGGGGTGACGGCCAAGGAGTGTGGGGCTCCCTTCTAGGGTGATGGTTGCGTACCTTCTGCGTACATACTAAAACTCACTAAATTATGCACTGTAGTTTGGGGTATTTTATGGTATGTGAATTCTATCTTAATTTGAAAATTCTTCCTAAGAAAATTTGTTAGTTCTATTTCTATTAAAAGATTTCTGCAGATTAATCATTAATAGCCCAAATGGATACATTGGCATTTGTGACCACTGACAATGAAATGTACTTAGAAATAAAAATGGAAACTTTTTTTTAAAGGTTTTATCTATTTGACAGAGAGCGATCATAAGCAGGGGGAGCTGCAGGCAGAGGGAGAGGGAGAAGCCGACTCCCCACAGAGCAGGAAGCCCGACTCGGGACTCAATCCCAGGACCCTGAGATCATGACCTGAGCTGAAGGCAGACACTTAAAACCAACTGAGCCACCCAGGTGCCCCTAAATGGAAACATTTTTAAGCACCGTGTTTTGTTGATGGTATATTTTTACCTCTAGTGTATTTATGTTGAATCATCAAGATAAAAAGTACTATCTACAAAAGCATAAATAACATTTTCTTTAAACTGTGTTCTACTTTGGGTTCTGATTGAGCCAGATGTCAATACTGCCCATCCATTCTGCGGGCCAGACCTCGTCTCTGCTCCTTCCTGTTCTCCCCCTTTCTTTCCCTCCCTCCACCCCCCTTTTCTTACACACACACACAATTTAGTAATATATGCCTAATGTAAAGTTTACCATCCTCACCATTCTCAGGGGTACAGTTCCTGGCTTTGAGTACATTTACTTTGTTGCCATCGCCACCATCTATCTGTAGAATTCTCTCCCTCTTGTAAAACTGAGACTCTGTAGCCAGTAAACAGTCACTCCCCATTCCTCCCTCCAGCAGGCCCTGGCAACCACCATTCTATGGCCGGTGATTTTGACTACTTTACGTGCCCGATAGGAGTGGAATGATAGATTCTTGTTTTTTTGTGACTGCTTTATTTCACTCATCCTGGTGTCCTTGAGGTTCATCTGTGTTTTAGCAGGTGTCAGAATTCTCTTCCTTTCCTAGGTTAGTATTCCATTGTGTGTACACCACATTTTGTTCATCCATTCATCCAACAGTGGACAGTTGGTGTTGTTTCCATCTTTTTGCTACTGTGAACATAGGTATGCGAATGTGTCTTCAAGACCCTACTTTCAAATTTTGGGGGTGTGTACCCAGAACTGGAATTACTGGATCATATGGTGATTCTATTTCTAATTCCTTGAGGAGCCTCCATGCTGTTTGCCGCGGCAGCAGCACATTGGATCCCCGCCCGTGGTGCGCAAGGACCCAGGGCCTCCTCGCCAACACTTAGTATGTTCTGACTTTTTGATAGCAAGCATCCTAATGAGAAATGGTATCTCATTGTGGTTTTGATTTACATTTCCATAATGATTAGTGATGGTAAGCATCTTTTCATGGGCCCATTGGCGTTTTGAACAGTCTGTCTTCATTGGAGAAATGTTCATTGCCCGTTTTTGAATCCCTGCATTCTCTTTTATGTTTAAAGCAGCAGGTCTTCAAATGTGGTCTGCAGACCCCTAAAGGTTCTTAAAATTCTTTGAAGGGACCCTGAGGTCAAAACTACTTTTGTGGTCCTGAGCCTACTAGTAGTTGGGCATTGACCACCACACACTCGGAGTGGAGTAATAGCAATTTTCCTTAATGGTGTCTCTAAGAGAGCAGTAAGAATTATAATTAAATTTTACATTTGAGTACAGGTCTTTAAAATATACATTGAGGTATAATATCCATGCCCTAAAATTCATGTGTTTTAAGCATACAATTCAATGATTTTTATTAAATTTACCAAGTTGTGTGGCCGTCACCACAATCCAGCTGTAGAGCACGTCCATCGCCCGAGGAAGACCCCATAGTGCTGGTCTTTCCCACATTCAGCCTGACGAGATGCGAGCGCTCCCAGAGCCCCTCAGCTGGGAGGTGCCACACAGGAAGGTGCCAGCCGCATCTCCAGGGAGGGCACGCGAGGCTTGCGCCGTGAGCGGGGACTGCTGCAGGACACAGGGCGCAGTCTCCTCCGAAACAAAGTGAGCCCACCACCTCCAGGAGAACAGCTGACAGTATCTGTTGCTAATGATGACTTTGGGCTCTCACGTGAAAGTCAGAATTTTGGAGGGCCTGAATCTCCACCTGCGGTGCTTAATGACTTTTCCAGATGACTGTTGCATGGTGTCCCAGAATCACACCTGCGTAGAAAGTCCACTCGCAGTTTGAGGCGGAGCAGTGCGCATCTGTGGAACAGTCAGAAATGTTCAGCGCGAGGGTTACAGACCCCACCGGCAACAAACGGCCGAGAAGGCTTGCTTGACAAGGTTCAAGTGGCCTCAGGGACACGCGAGAGTCGCTGAGGCTGGCTTTCCTTCACCTACTTCAGCACAAACGAGCTGTCCTGGCAAACTGAATGCAGAAGCCGACAAGAGAGAGCCGCTGTCTTCTGTGTTCCTGTCAGCTTGAAAGAGGTTTGCAAAAAGGAGAGAATTCTGCTCGTGTCATTAAGTATTTTTAAAAGTTACTTTTCATGAAACACTTATGCTAATGTATTGTTACCGTAAGTTACACATAGCATATACTATGTCTTTAAATTTTTTCAGTCTTAATTTCTATAGTGAATACCAATAGATCCGACCATTTGTGATGCTTTGGGCTCCTAAGATCTAGAAGTTAAAGAACTTCTGGTTTCAAGTCAACATTGTTTACAAAGCAGCAGCCCAGATATTATTTTAATTATTTCAGCTAGACAGTGAAGGTATTCGTTAGAGAAATTAAAATATCTCAGATACCCTGAGAGGTGACTGGTTGTCAGTGAAATGGGAAAGGAAAGTACTCCTGAGTTGTTTGTGTTCTGTTGTTAAAAACTTGCACGTGATGGACGTGGGACTTGATACCCATTAGGATACATGTTTATAGATTCTCAGTTTGTCCTTAATATTGAATGGTTCCATTTTTACATATCCTGCCTTCCTTCCACTGGTAATTTCTTAAAACCATGAAGCACTCTAAACCTCCCGATTTTTACAATCCCTGTATTTATTTTCTATTCTGAGTTACTCAGACTAACAGGAAATGGGACCGCCGTGTCTTACTTAGAAATAATGTGGTAGCGGGACGCCTCGCGGACACGGCGAGGACAGCCCATAGACGAAGCGGGCGCCGCGCCGTACTGACAGCCAGCAGACCGATCTAGTTGTCTCTCTGGAGCCGGCGCGCGTAGGCGTGCGTACGTGCTCGTGAGCACGCCCGCAGATCTGCTTTCTTCTCCTGACGTTGCATGCTGCAGGAGGGGCGGGGCGGGTCCGTGGATTGGTCAGTGGTGTGGTTGTGAGCAGTGGCTTACTGCCGCCGGAGACGTGGCTTTGGTGTCCCATCATCTCTGGGTTCAGTTCCTCTGATGGCTGCGGAAGGACTGGGTAGGTTTTCTGCAAAGGTCGTGTGTGTCTCGCTGGCCGTGGGTGTGTTGGTAATGCGCACGCAGGTTCCTTTTTCATGGATCTGTGATTTAGTGAGAGAAGCAAGGGTCAACACACAGGGTACAAGTGGGGCAAACGTGGGGGTGGATACATCGATTGATTGATTGATCCATCCCCAGTAAATTGATAACTGTCTCTGGTCGAGGGCCCTGGAAGCATGGAGACCTCACTGAATACCTTTTAGAGTATTGGGATATATTCTTGTGTGCTACTTTTATTTCATACCTATAAATATTTCATATATATAAAATAATAGTGTCTCCACAGGCTTATATGATGATTAAAAAAACAGTAGTTTCTAAGATGCCCACCATTCAGTTACGAAATCAAACATTATCGGTGCCTTCGCGAAGAATCTTGTCCCCCGTCCTGCCGCCGTGACCATGCTTCCAGTTCTCCTTGTTCCCTGCTGGCTCGTTAAGCCAGTGTCCCCACGTGGAGTCGTTAAATCATTAGGAGCCTGTTTCTTTCCCCGGTCAGAGTCACAGTCCACATAAATTCTGTGTTTGTGAAGTTTCATTTGGAAGTAGAAGACCATATAGTTTTAAAACGAGATTTTTGCCTCCACTTTGTAGAGAATATTTTTCCCTAAACAAAATGCTTTTTTAAATTATGGAAGTAATACATACTAACAGAGTAGGACAGTAAAAGATAAAAGTCTTTCTACCATCCAGCAATTTGGGGTGTTTCCTTCCAGGCTTTTTTCTACACAGATAAAAATTCACTTTTAAAAAGGCTAGTGGGGGGCGCCTGGGTGGCTCAGTCGTTAAGCGTCTGCTTTTGGCTCAGGTCATGATCTCAGGGTCCTGGGATTGAATCCCGCATCGGGCTCCCTGCTCAGCGGGAAGCCTGCTTCTCCCTCTCCCACTCCCCCTGCTTGTGTTCCCTCTCTCGCTGTCTTTCTCTCTGTCAAATAAATAAAATCTTTAAAAATAACTAAATAAATAAAGATTTAAAAAAAATAAGGCTAGTGGATGGTTGGCTCAGTTGATGGAGTGTGCAAATCTTGATCTCAGGGTTGTGAGTTCGAGTCCCATATCAGGCGTAGAGATGACGTAAAATCTTAATAAAAATCAAAAGGCTACTGGGAGTGGACAGCTCCTGTGCTCCCTCCTCCCTGCGTGTGCTGGGCATCTGTCCTGGTGGTAGGTGCTTGTAGACCTCCCCTCCTTCTGCCTGGAGCAACCTTCTTGTGTTTGGTGGCCAGGAATCAAGACATGTCCATCCGGGATCTTTGCACACCCAGCTGCACACGGTCCATGAGGACAGGCTCCTGTCACCCACCAGAGTCTCAGGGGGTACAGGCCGCTGCTCTTGCCTCTGGCACTCCTGACTGATTTCTTCTGTTCCTCTTTTCTCCTCCTGCCTGTGGGAGCAAGAAAAGATCTTTTTTGTCAGTGGGCTCATTGGGTGATGTTTTTGGTTTTGTTTTGAAAATATTTTACATATAGGGGCACCTGGGTGGTGTCCGACTCTTAGTTTCAGCTCAGGTCATGATCTCAGGGTCATGAGTTAAGCCCCGTGCTGGGCTCCACGCTCAGTTGGAGTCTGCTTGGGCTTCTTTCCTCTTCCCTCTCCCCCTCCACACACTCGCACTCTCTCTCTCTCTCTAAAATAAATAAGTAAAATCTTTTAAAAAAATATTTTACATACAAAAAAGAACTGTGATTCTCAAATACCCATTTATCCACCACCCAGGTACCTATGTTTGGTTAAAAAAGTTATGGAAACCTGGAGTTTATTAATACTTTCCTGTACTTGCAGATTTTCTGCAGAAAACCTCCATTAGTCTTTTACCTGCACATCAGTGAGGATACCGTGTGAGCTCTGTGACAGATGGGGAAGGGCTTGACAGTCCTTTATTTAGATGCAGGACTGCATACAAGGTCTGTTTTCTGTAAAGCTCTCTGAGACTCTGGGATCTGACACCCTCATAGTGTAATATTTCCCAGCCTCTGACTTATGTGATCTCTCTAACACTCTTAAGAATTTTAAAAGTTAGTTATTTTTGCATTTCCAGAGAATTAGTTTTAAGCATACTTTATTTTGCATTTAATTCATGTCACTATGTTATTAGGTTGGTTTTAATACAAGCTTAAATGTTCATGATGTCAAATTTAGCTTTTTCTTAAATACCAAATGATTATTTCTCTTTATGTTATACAAGGAAAAATGTGTTTTGTTGATAGAAACATTCAAGTGGAATATTACATTTAGAAGGGAATATATATTAAAAGATGGTTTAAAATTTAACTACATGTTAACCCATTGAAAATGTTTTTAAAATTAGATATTTATGCCATATTTCTTTTTACTCTTAAATA